AAAAAAGTATTAAATATTTAATTTGTCCATTTTGCTAGCAATAAATCTACATAAACCTCAAAGCTTTCTTTAAGAAGCTCAGTGCTCAGGATGCAGACTTGAAGAGTTCTTACACAGTTTCTAGGTATATATGGCCATCTTGTGTTAAAACCAGAGAAATTCCAGGCCCAGAAAAGACATAAAATCATGGGTAGGACTGGGAGCAAGAATCAAATCTAATCTACTTCACAAATGTGTCCAGGCTATTTCCCCACAGGAATTTAAGTACAATTATTATTCTTTAAAGGAGTTATTCATTATACCATAATGGCATAATGAATAACTAATACAGGGCTGCTCAAAGGTCTCCTTTTTATCTCTTATTCACTGAGGTATTATAAAGACAAAACTGCTAAGTTCTGAATTCTGTATTAAGAGCATATTACAAATAATTGATGAACTATGTGATTATACTTTTGAATTATTTAGAGCTCTAAAGCATTTTAGAGAAGCATTACATTATAATAGAAGATAAAAATTACTATTATATATACAAAATTATATTGGAAGTCACACTTAGCAGTAAGTGGGGTACGAAGAGAAGGCACCAAATATTCTCCACCCATTTATGTATATAAGCCTTCCCTAAATTTTTCACAAGTGAAGATTTTTAATTTTCCTTCAAGTTTTAAGATCATTGGCTGGAAAGAAGGTGGGAAGAAGGGAAAGCACTGTTGAGAAGGAGAGTCCCAGCTGCTGCCCCAGAAAGCGACCTCGGCAGCTGTCAACAGTAACACTCTCCTTTGCCATGGCATCATGACCGTAGTCAGCTGATTTTCTCTCTGCCATAGGAAACTGCTAGAAGATCAGTTAGATAAAGTATTAGGATAGACGGGTAGGAAGTATCTCATATTTGGCCATATTTCTTGGCTCTATTTTCCCACCTTAACCATGTACAGGCATGAATACGAGATGCAGGATTATAAATTCCTCATCACATAATGCTTAACAGTGCTTGAACGCAGTGGATACCTTGAAATATTTTCTCACCAGTAAAGTCTTTCTTGGTTGGTGGGCAGTTGTTGTCCATTTCAGAGCCATGTTTTAAAATGTCAATATGCAAATGTTCCTTCCTCGCCCCAACTTCTTCTACTTTTGTTTCGATTTCTTCAGATTCTAAAAAGGTATCCTCACACTTCTCATTGTGTTCTGCGTGTTTGGCTGAATGTAGTTTGTTTATGATGCCAGAAGTTTTTTGTTCAAAACAAAAATTTGATCCTGAACTCAATGATCTTTCTTTTACAAGGCCCTTTTCTTCGTTGGTCACACTGAGGGTCTCACCACATGCTCCAGCAACAGAAATGCAGAAAGTTCTATCAAGCTGACTTTCTTGTGCAACAGGCTCACTTTCAGCATCTGTTTTATTACACACAGATTCTCTTTTGCTATCACTTTGAGCAAAACCTGAACGGTTCTTCCTGCATCCTTTTTTAGTTTTCTTCATTGGGGTTTCTTTCAAAATTGTCACATTTCCTTTGGGCTTTCTAACCTTTCTGAAGTGCATATTATCAACATCCTCATCTTCTTTCAAGAGCAAATGAGTGGAAGTAAACTTAGAGAGTCCTCTGCTATCCTGCAACTCTGAACTACTTCTTGGCAGCATAAACACATCCTCTTTGCACTTGCTTCGTGTCCTGAGGTTCCGGTTTGAATTGTTACTTTGGTTTTGAGGATTGGATGTCAGGGCTGACATGCTGCATTCTTTATATCTTGACTTGATGCCCCTTTTAGAAAGTACAGTAAAATCAAAATCTTCTGGTTTAAGAGAAGTCTCTCCATTTTTGTGAAGATAATTAGCAAGTGAACTTTTGGATCTGAACTTCAGTCCTTGTGGGCTAGAAAATGATATTAAAGGACACTTACTGCTAGCAAATGGAAGGGACTTTTAAAAAAACTGGATCACATTTCAGATTTCTAATTAATTTCCAAATGTTGCCATGGGCATCTGTTATTTAAAAATGAAAAAGTAATAAACGGCACTTTTAAACGGTTTCCTCTGACAATATAAAATAAATTTATAAATATAACTTAAATGCAACCTACCCATTAACCATTCACAGTATGAGGGACAAAATGTATGTAATGTTCCCCAAATTACTTGATATAATTAAATAGCGACATCGAAAGAATAGAATCTGCAAAGGTTTTATGGTAAAAATATAAAGAAGCCAAGATTCCTACTATGCTCCCACTATCTGCCCAGACAAAATTATTTGGCTGTACTATCTTTACCATCTTATATACTTACCTGATAAAGTATACATCAAATCTTCCTGCTGTTTTACCAAATAACCTTTGCTTCACAACTCTTTCCCATCCACACGGGGCAGACTTATGGCATACCATCCCTGCAGTACCACCAAACTGAGCAGAAGCGATGGGTTCTTGTAGCAGGGGATTACATTCACTGCTTCTTTTTATCATCATTTGTTCCTCATCTTCTCCCACTCTTTTCAATTCCACAGTATCATCTTCCTTGCTGGAAAAATAAAGTCTAAGTGATTAACTTATTTAAAATTTATCTTCAACTGCCTGCTCAGTTTTAATCCATGACAATTCGGGAACCATACAGATTTTTCACATTAAAATGGAGGAGACTGGCTGGGTGTGGTGGCTCACACCTATAATCCCAGCACTTTGGGAGGCCGAGGCTGGTGGATCACCTGAGGTCAGGAATTCGACACCAGCCTGACCAATATGGTGAAACCCCGTCTCTACTAAAAATACAAAAATTAGCCAGGCGTGGTGGCAGGCGCCTACAGTCTCAGCTACTCGGGAGGCTGAGACAGGAGAATTGCTTGAACCAAGGAGGCAGAGGTTGCAGGAAGCCAAGATTGTGCCACAACTGAACTCCAGCCTAGGCGACAGAGTGAGACTCCATCTCAATCAATCAATCAATCAATAAATAAAATGGAGGATATTAAAGTCAGTATGGACCGGTCTTATGCTAGTATTTTCCTATCCTCTGAAAGCTTCCCATATGCTACAGCACAGGTTTAAAAAGTGTTGGAAATCTCTGCACAACAAACAGGTCAAGCTAGAAACTTTTTGAATTAATCACTGAGTAGGGCTATTATAAAGATTTCTGGGGTTACTTAGCATAAATTTGAGAATATGAACCAATAGCTGAGCTCTTAACCTGAGCTCTTAAGCAGCAGAAAATGCTTAAATATATCAGTCAGTCATGCTGACTTCTCTGCAAATAAGTGAGGTAAAGGTTTTACATAACGTAAAATTTCTGGGACAGAGTGTCTATCACTTTCATCAGATGTAACCCTCCAGAAGGTAAATAATTTCTGATACAGAATTTTTCAATCTTCTTCATTCTTGATCCTCATGGTAACCTTGTAGGTATAATAAGGTTTACTCTCAATTTGTTGATAAAATTGAGTGAAATTGATAACATGGACAGAAAGGTTAAATTACTTGCAAAACAGACACCAGAACCCAAGTCTACCAAATCTTGGTTAATACTTCTCCAACATACTATTATTGAAAAAAGTTGGCAAAGCAAGGTGGCTCATGCCTGTAATACCAGCACTTTGGGAGGAGGAGATGGGATGATCACCTGAGCCCAAAAGTTTGAGACCACCCTGGGCAATACAGTGAGACCCGTCTTTACAAAAAATGAAAAAAACAAGTAGCAGGGCATGGTGGCGCATGCCTGTAGTCCCAGCTACTAAGGAGGCCGAGGCAGGAGGATTGCTTGAGCCTGGCAGGTCAAAACTTCAGGGAGCTATGACTGTGCCACTGCACTCCAGCCTGAGTGACAGAAAAAAAAAAAAAAAAAAAAAAAAAAAAAAAAAAAACCCACCAAAAAAACAAACTAAAACTTCATTAAAGTTCCAGTGTGTCTTCTATGATGAAAACATAATTTAAAAATGTAAAAAAGAAAAATTTCAGTCAAATGTATCCTAAACTACAGCTTGTAAAAGGTGGTGGATGGTTCTGGAGAGATCATCTAACCCAACTTCTTTTCTACAAATAGGGAAACTATGCAAGAACTAGAATTAGAACCAAGGTTTTCTGTTGTAATTTGGGGTAAAATAATTTTGAGGAGCTGGATAGATCTTATGAAAGAATATTGTTTACAGTTTTAGAGATAAAGATACTGAAGCCTGGTGGAATCAGCAAAAACTCTTAAGAGACTGGGGCTCAAATCCCAGCTCTGCCAGCTGTATAAGTTTAACAGCAAGTTGCTTAACATCTCGAAGTCTCTGTAAAAAAAAACTGTAAAAAGGTGATGCCTCTTTCAAGGTAGTTCTGAGGATTACATTTTGAAAAAAGTAAGTAAATCTTAACCTCCTATCACACACGTTCTCAAATGACTTCCTAGGATCCTCCGACCCAAGCGTACTTCTTGCACAAAACCTCCCGGCTCCCCCCAGCTCCCTAGTCATCTTGGATGAGGAAGTCGGGCGCACCCCAGGGCTGATCCCACAGGAAGAAAAGGAAGAGCATCTGAGCTTCAGCCCCAGCTCCTAGTAACTGAACCCGTGGGCCTTAAGGTCTCTGCCGACCCTTTGTCAAAGGTTAGAAAGGCCCACACACAGTCCACTCTTCCGATCCCATTTTACAGGTGGTAAACTGAAGCCCGAAAGGGGACAATAACTTGCCGGAGGTCACTCGGCGGGTCTGGGAATAGGCGCTCACTAGAGGACACTGCAGGGGCAGCTCTGCGGTCCCCCAGGCTCAAGCTCTCCATCCCAGCCGTGCCTATCGAACAGGCTCCAGCTGCAGCAACTAGCCGAGCGCTACGACGCCCTAGATGTGGGGTGGAGTTAGACGTGAAACCTTCTCAACGCGCGGCGCTAGACTGCAACCGAGGTCTGAAGATCGCAAAAGCGCCCCGACACCGCGGCTGCTTTTCGGCCGCCCACTCGGCTACAGGCGCCATTTCCACGCTCCACCAATCAAATCCATGATTGAGGAAGACGCACCGCCCCACACGCCCCGACCAATCGCGCGCTCTCCGGTTGCGCCGGCGCCTTCTGGACTCCGGTTCCACCATTGCTTTTGCTTCTTTGCTCGCCTTCCCTTTCGGACTTGCGCGGTCGGAGAAAGGCGCGCTCGCGCGCAGCTTACTGCGCATGTGCGTTGCCAGGGGTAACGCGGGGAGCCAAAGTGGTTTGTGGAGTGGCTACTGTTACTGGTTACTGAGGCGGTTGCCGAGACTGTCGCAGAGACTCGGAGGAGGAGCCCGAGGCGTGAGGGAAGCCGCGATGAGGGCCGTGTTGACGTGGAGAGATAAAGCCGAGCACTGGTGAGGAGCGGGGCGATCCGCGAGGAGCGGGAGGCCGAGTCCCCGCGGGGACTGCGCGAGCCGCTGCAGCGTGTTTGAGGGGGTCAGCGGGCCTGCTGCCTGGGCCGAGGGCACTGAACCCCGGCTTGGAAGACTGCAGGGTCATCCTCCCACTCCTTGGCGGTTGGAGAAAATCCCGAGGTTTGGAGAGCGGCAAAGGGAGGTGCCACGCCTGTAGTGGCCGGTGGAGGCATCTCTGCCTTCACGGTTTGGCCTTGTCGCTGCCTTGGGCTCATCTCACACCCACGACACAGCACGAAGCTGCCCAAACTTCACAGTTCTTGCCACATCCACGTAGTGCCCATACTCTTGTTTACTTGACGTTTGTCTCTCAAGTGTCTCATTTATTTTATCTTGATTATAATTTCACATTTTACAAGGAAACTTTATTACCCCATTGTGAAAAACGGTGTCACTTGACCTAAGTGTAAGATAAAATCAGCGCCTCTTGCTCTAAGTGTAAAAGTAAAACCTAAAGTAGGGAGAAACAAAACTGAAGAAACTGTATCTAGCTATTGTTGCTAGGGAGCCTTTAAACTAGAGGTCTGAAGTCTCTAAAACTGGAGAATGGCAGGTATGATCAGAGAAGTGCTCAAAATGAGCATCAAACGCAGCCTCTACTAACTGGGAAGTTTGAAGCAGAATGACCTTGTCACCTTTTGATTCAGTTATTTAATATCCTATTCCATTGTTACCCCCTCAATCTGTCACATAACAGTCTATTTTGGCATGTCCTTACTTATTGGATAGGTCTCGGCCTGACTTTGAAAATCATTCAGCATCGTTGTGAAGCCTCTGTTTTGGCCACTGGAGCATGTTAGTTGTGTTGGTTCTGTGCATACTAAGGTCTTTCTCTGTGTAAAGCATGCTGTCTCTTCTCATCTCACACGGATATCCTGAACGTCTTCAAGGCTTATGTTGGAGATGGGTCCTCTCTTTTGTGCTTGGCAGTAGTGGTAGCTGACACTATGTGCCAGGCTCTGGCTAAGCACGTCATATCCTTTATCTTGTTGTCTCTTCACCAGTCTCTGAGGGAGGTACTATAATTTCCTCTATTTAATATATGAGGAAACTGAAGCACAGAGAAGGTGGATAATTTGCCAAGGTCACACAGTGAGTGGTGGAGCCAGCTTTCAAGCTCAGGTCTTCCTCACTCCAAAGTCAGTGCTCTCAGTCACTACATTAATTTTTCCTTATATTACAGAGGTGGCAAACTCAAATGTCTGTAGGAGACAGGCAGGTAACATAAATAGATGTTTATTTGCATCTTAAACACTAGGAATTGCGTATTTTCCCTAGGAATAGTCTTGTATGCTACACCCCATTTTTCTTGAAACACACAGCCCTGCCAGTGCATCTTTCATTTCTACTTTTAATAGAGATTTGAGTTTTTAAAAATTATTTTACCTTTATTATAAATGTACCTATAGCACAAGCTGATAATAGCTGGCAACTGAACATTTGGCTTCAATACCAGAGAGTAATAGAGAGTGGCGAGAAGTATGGCAAACTGCAGAGCTTGTGCTCGCCCTAAAAGGGGCAGCTGCTGCTCAGCTCCTGCCAGTTACCACCATGCAGGAATTTGGCCTAGTGTGCTTGGCGCTTCCTGTTTTTACCAGAAGCTAGAAATCTGGGTTTTTGTGTGAAATGGCCTAATTTTTAAATGTTAGCATCTACTCTGAAAAAAAATAAAACACCATGTGAGCCAAGCAAAACATTTGCTGGCTAAATGCAGCCTGATTTGCTCTGTTTTCAACCTCTGGCCTGGAATTTTGTTCATTTCTCTCTTGTGGTGCTTCCAGAATCTGTTTAGTGTAAGTTAATTTTTTAAATCTGTTTATTCCAGAAGTCTAATAAACCCTTTAAAGGCAATGGCTGTGTCTTACTCATTTCCAAATTATCCCAGAGCCTAGTCAGGTCAGTGGTGGTTGTTACTATGGATAGTAATAAAATATTAGAGATGTATATATATATATATAAAATGAAATACTATGGGTAGATGTATCATAAATGAATGAATAAGTGAGTGAATGAATGATGAACAAAGATTGGTTGTCTGGTTTTTGGCCCATTTCAGGTTTGAAACAACCTATTAGGATAAGGGATGTAGGGGTTCTATAGGCCATCAATCCTGATGGCTGCTAGATATACCAGCTGATAGCCCAGAATGAAAACAAAACAAAAAGCTAAAAAAATAGATAATAGTACTAAAAAAAATCCTAGATGTCAAAGATTAGTCCGCAACAACTAAACCAGCCATTGTCTCCCAATCTGCTCCTTCGTTTCTATTTTAACCTTTACATAGCAGTAGGAACTCTCTTTTTCAAGACCTGCTGCTGATCTACTTCTCATAAACCTAGAGTGATTCCCAATTGCTTTCCATGTCAAATTGTGCATTTTGCTAAAAGATCCTCCTGACCCTCCTCCCCAGTCTTGCAACATTAAAATTTATATTTTTAGGTTGAGCTGAAAACTCTATTTTCCTACCCAAAGATCCTTCCCTTATGCTCTCTTATTCTATGAACTCCCTTGTTTTCTCCCTTAAATTCACAGCTCCAGGTTTGTCTCAGCCAGGATGCCTTATTAGGCTAGCCTACCGTATTCTAGTCATGCTAGCATCTGCTGTAGCCATTCATGCCAGCAAGTATTTACTGAGTACTTGCTATAGGCCACATATCTTTATGCATGTTATGTTTAATCTCTACATCATGTGAGGTTAGAATTTTAATCTCATTTACAAATGAAGAAATTGAGAGTTAATGAGGTGACATTATTTGCCTAAGATTACAAAATGAGTTAAGTGGGGCTGGGTCAGATTATGCAGGAGTTGGAGAGGCACCATGGGACTTCAGTTTACAGTGAGGTGGGTGCAGGGTTGTCAGAGGACAATTTGCAGTATTCCTCTGTATCTCTGCAATGGAATCTGACAGTGTGTCTTTTGACAATATGTGTTTTTTATATAGAGAGGCAGGTGGAGAGAGAGAACCATCCTACAGTAGAGTAGACTGCCTGCAAATGAGTGAGCTCCCAGCCCTGGAGTGTTCAAGCAGAGCCTAGATGGCTATCTATAAGGAATTCTGGCCCTAATGGGGCAGTTGGACTGCATGACAAGGTCTAGAGTCCTTTCCAATTCTGAGTTTCTATATAAAGTAAATATAAGATCAATGTATATTTGTTGGCTGGGCCTAGTGGCTCATGCCTGTAATCCCAGGACTTTGGGAGGCCGAGGCGGGTGGATCATGAGGTCCGAAGTTCAAGACCAGCCTGGCCAAGATGGTGAAACCACATCTTTACTGAAAATACAAAAATTAGCTGAGCGTGGTGGCAGGTGTCTGTAATCCCAGCTACTCGGGAGGCTGAGGCAGGAGAATGGCTAGAAATGGTAAGAGGGGGGCTGAGATTGCAGTGAGCCAAGATCGCGCCACTGCACTCCATCCTGGGTGATAGAGCAAGACTCTGCCTCAAAAAAACAAAAACAAAACAGAAAAAAACACAACAGATTGCCTTGGTTTGAATTTTGGCTCCACTTCCATTCAGTAGCACTTTATTTTCAGGCAAGTTACTTAACTTCTCTGTGCCTTAATCTCATCTGCGAAACAAGTATATGGTTGGTTTGAGATTAACATGAGTTAATAAATGTAAATCATTTAAACAGTACTTGGCATATACAATAATACATGTGTTCAATAAATGTTAGACACTGTTGTTATTAAAGTATGAAGGTTAACAAATTTGACACACTCGGCAGTAATTGAAGGAAGCAGAAGGCAGCATAGCATGGTAATTACAAGCACAGACTCTAGAGTCAGACCTGAGTTGAAATCCTAGCCCTGGCACTTGCTAGTAGTGTGACATCAGGCAAAGTACTTGACCTCTCTGGGCCATGGTATCCTCATCTACAAAACAAAGTGATCATTCCTACCTCTGTCACAGAATTATTGTGGAGATGAAATAAAATAATACATTTTAAGAACTCAGCAGGTGCTGTTTGGAATAAGAGCTCAAAGTACTGTCACTGAGAGTGTACATTTAGGTTACTGACAAATTTGGTTTTTAAATTAGTGGTGTAAACCAAAAATAAAATTCAAACGCCCCCCACCCCCAACCATCTGAATGGACTTCCTCCTCAACCAGGGCTCTTTTAAAAATTTAACCTGAGATACTGTTTCAGGCCACGATGGAAATGGGGGTCAAATATGCCTCAGTATACGTCTCTGGCATTAACATCAACACCAACTTTAAGTGTGATAAGAAACATTTTACAAACTATCCTCTCTAAAGCCTAGTACCTCAAGGCTTCCTCTGCAAATAGTAACTTGAGTTGCACAATCCTTTTTCTTAACCCAGACATGCCTTTCTGTTGACGCCAGGACTTTAGATAAACATGACCAATTATCAACCAGAAAAATGTTAAATCTACCTATAAGCTGGAAGCCCCTTGCTTCAAGTTGTTCCATCTTTCTGGACCAAACCAATGTATTTCTTAAATGCATTTGATTGAAGTCTCATAAAACCAAACTGCACGCTGACCACTGTGGGCACATATTCTTAGGACCACCTGAGGACTGTGTCATGGGCTGTGGTCACTCATATTTGGCTCAGAATAAATCTCTTTAAATGTTTTACAGAGTTTGATTCTTTTTGTTGATATCGGCAAGTTTATCCTTTGCTAAACTTTTACTATAGGTTGGGTTTTGTTGTTTGTGTGGTTTTTTGTTTTGTTTTCCTTTAGCAACTTCAGCAGTAAGTACACCCTTAACAATAGTTTGTTTTGACAGGGCTTGAAATGTTTTTGACGCAGTCTTACTAGAGTCCCTGGAACCAGTGAAATCCTCTGCCTGGGCATTTGAGAATCTTTGTAATATGGCTCCAGCCCATTTTTCTAGCCTCATCTCTCCGTGTTGTAGCAGCATCTCGCACATAGCCAGATGTTTCAGTCAAATTAGATTATTTTAATTACTTGTGTTGATGAAAAGAATCAAACTGCAAAATATTTTAAGAGATTTATTCTGAGCCAAATATGAGTGACCACACCCCTTAGGAGGATCACAGAACATGTGCCCAAGGTGGTTGGGGTGCAATTTGGTTATATACATTTTAGGGAGGCATGAGACATCAATCAAATACATTTAAGAAATACATTGGTTTGGTCCAGAATGGTGAGACAACTCAAAGTGAGGGCTTCCAGGCCATAGGTAAATTTAAACATTTTTTAGCTGACAATTAGTTGAGCAACAAAAAGGAATATCTAGTTAAGATAATGTATTGTGGAGACCCATGTTATTTACAGAAGAAGCCTTTGGGTACTAGGCTTCAGAGAGAATAGGTTGTAAAATGTTTTTTCTTGTTCGTTTGTTTGTTTGTACCCCCACCCCCAACAGAGTCTTGCTTAGTCACCCAGATTGGAGTACAGTGGCACAATCTCAGCTCACTGTAACCTCTGCCTCCTGGGTTCAAGCAATTCTTCTGCCTCAGCCTCCAGCCTCCCAAGTAGCTGGGATTACAGGCGCCTGCCACCACACCCGGCTAATTTTGTATTTTTAGTAGAGACAGGGTTATACCATGTTGGCCAGGCTGGTCTTGAACTCCAGACTTTGTGATTCTGGAGTGTGAACTCCAGACTTTGGCCCCCCAAAGTGCTGAGATTATAGGCATGAGCCACTGTGCCTGGCCTCTGCTTCCCTATCTATGTTTGCAGCTCAATTTTTCAGGCTGCTGTTTGTTAGAAAAAATAATTTCTTGGGCTGCTTTTTGTTAAAGGAAAGTTCCACTGAAGACTCTGTTACTCTCACTATCTGCCTAAATAATTTCTTTCTAGCTCTTGTATCACTGTGTCTTCCTCCGTAGAATCCTATATGTTTTCGTGTATCTCTTAAAGCCTTTTATCAGAGTACTATTTTGTATTTCATTCAATCTAATAGGTCATTGATTATAATATACCACTGTTTTGTGTATCAATAAGAAAGCAAAAAATGCTGACAGTAACAGTGAAACATCAATTATGAGACACATCCTAACCTCAGAGGTGAGAAAATGTGAAACAAAAAATGTATGCTTTAGAATTGATGACACATGGTAGTTCTTTGTGAAAGTGTCTGATTCGCACCTGTCTGGATGGTAATTTCCCTGAGGGGAGGGAGAGACTATGATCCATTCATATCTGTTGGTGCCTAGCACCTAAGAGGGACTCAGTATCGGTAGATATACTGGCCCTCACACAGTCTCTCAGGTTGTCTAGTTTTCATGGTATTATTTTAAGAGTTAGTACCCTCAACTGTCGACCCTTTGAATAATTTTTTATGTCTGGCTTCTGGACAAGAGGAAATTGGAACAAAGAGCTAACTACTGAGTGGATCACGATTGAATGGGTTTCTGTGGTGTAGCGGTTAAATGGAATTTGCAACAAATGCACTTCTTAGTCATTCTTTTTCTCCTCAGCACACATACAGTGTTTCTTAATGGAAATAAAGTTTACTTTCCTGGCCATTAGCAGACTTCATCATTTTGGTTCCTAATTGTCTTTTTGTCTTGTCTCCTGTTTAGTATAAATGACATCGCATTTAAGCCTGATGGAACTCAACTGATTTTGGCTGCTGGAAACAGATTACTGGTAGGATTTTGTCTTAGTTTCCTCTTAAAAGTACTTCCCCCACCTCCTTCTTATAAGTACTTTGAAATTTGACCCTTTTGAGATAAAAAAGGCCAGGGTGAAAAAACCTTCCCTATTACTTTTTAATAGGGAAGGAAATGGTCTGTTTAAAACAGGCAAGTAAACTATCAGATAGGAAGCTGGGAATAATACCTCCTTTGGGATCATTAATCTTTCCCCTTTTACTTTGAGACACCTATGAAAGAGTTGAAAACAATTAATCACGATGCCTTTGAAATTGGACTGGTGTCAGTTTATATTTTGTCCCCCAGAAAAATTCAAGCAACAGGACTGAAGATGCTCTGTCCATGAAAAGTCAGATAGCCTGACCCCAACTTTTAGGCATTGGCCTGCCTAAACAATTCCATATGGATATTGTCCTATTTTTCATATTTTCAAAGAACATAAGCTCCCTCTGGAACCTATTCAGGTGTATAAAAGTAATTTTCGGAGAAACCCTTAAGTTTGACCTAAAAACCTTTGTATGATCTCTCCTTCTGCCTTACTTCCTCTTCTCTGTTGTCTCTAGATACGCAGACTGATTAATCTCCATTCTTTGTATGGTTAACTACATAATCTTAAAACATGGTTAAATTGTTCCGCAGACTTCTCTCCAGTGTAAATAATTCAAATCCTTTTAATTTTTCTTCATGGATTATTTTTTCCAACACTCTAACCTTTTTGGAAAGTTTTGCCTTGATTTCTCAGGTGGTGTATTTTTTTTTTTTTTTTTTT